GTGTGTGTGTGTGTGTGTGTGTGTGAGAGAGAGAGAGAGAGAGAGAGAGAGAGAGAGAGAGAGCAGGAAGCATTTGAAATGTCAGTGGGTAGCAGTCAACGTTTCCTCTGTAAAGCATGCAGTGGGTTTCTCTGGCCCGAGAGGAGAGTGGAATTTGGTGCAGCCCACTTGTGAATGGCGAGAGCTAACTTTATTAGCAAACCCATGGAGCTTTTCATTATAAAGCAAAAGTCACAAAATTGCACAGACCATTAGGCATTCAAATGTTGGTCACTAAACAGAGAGAATTTAGATTTTTTTATTAAAAACGCAGAGAGCTTCGTCTCTCTCCATCTCTCGCACTGCTGTGTGCTGGAACGCTGCCCTCCTGGCTCCATGCATTCCTCAAAGGCCTACGGCTGGGCTTCCACTCAGAAGGCCTGCCATTCGTTAAAAGCAAAGAAAGATGAATAGATGAAAGATGAACATTTCTCACAAGGAGCCATGGGATATGGTAAATCAGCCCAACTTCTTCTGCGGAGGAAAATGCATGGAGTTAACAAGAACACCAGATGGGGGTCCGAAAATGGGTCCCCGGCTATTGTCTGTCCTGCATCACTTTGTGGCCTCCGGCAAGCCCAGCCTTTCTCCAGCGTGGTGTCTTCCCACACACAAATTAGGAAAGGGGAACTGTAGATGTTGTAAGTTCCCCTGTGGGATGATGTCACCCCATCACTGCAATTAGGGTTCCAGCTACTGAGAAACTGGGCAGGACTAGCTCAACTAAGCCTGAAAGTTAAACTGGGGTATTTATTTCCCACAGTCCGACTAGTAGTCTAATCAGTACAGCCGTTAAACTTGCAATAATATTTCACTGACGGGTACCAGAGCGTTGCAAGTTATAAAATTTCCAATTTAATTTTACTGCATCCCTGAAGCCGTAGTAATTAGAAGACAGACTCACAGTGAAGATGTTTACAGCTTCAGGGGTGATAATTTTGAACCTGTCCTGCAGGTCACTTCTGGCCTCAAGGTCCCCCGATCTGACAGCTGCCTGCAGACTCAGGATTTTATGGTAATACAGCAGCAACTCGTCATCCATGCGATGGGAGCAGATGTAGATGACACTCACGTTGTCATCTGAAACAACAGGCACAGCGTTAATTACTGGGAAAAGGTAAATGACACTGGGAACCCTGGCACTGAACTGACGCCGAGCAGGGTAAAATGGGGAGCATCTCCCGACGCCACACACGCTACTTCAGCTGGGCTTCCCAAAGATCGTCGCCACCTTTGCCTGCACGTTAGCGCTTCTCCGAAGGCAGCAAGGATTCCTTCCTCCTTCCCAAGGAGGGTTGAGAGGCATGCCACGGAAGGACGGTGCGTTTCCGAAGAATACAGAGGGATTTAGCCACCCAGCTCCCATCAACATCAAGGGGAACTGCGCCCTGCTTTAAAAATTTATCCCATTAACTTCAGCAAATTATAAACCACAGCTATTAACTTTAGAAAGCTGACGAAACGGCAATTTCTTATTCTGCCCGGACTTGACAGGGCCGGTTCAGGAAGTACCCTGTCCACACAAGTGATCTGATCACCACCAGAGCAATGCTTATTGCAGGAAGTCAACCTTTTCCCCCTGCCTCGGTCTCCAAGAGGGATAGTTTCTTAAGCAGCACGGCTAGTGATTCTTGGTTTAAAGGAAACGCGCTCTCAGTTTAACTGTTCTCCTTTTAAAGATGCGCTTCTAAGGGCACAGGAAGAACCCCAAATTAAACGTCTCGTCGAAATGGAATACTGCGATGAGATTGCTCAGTCCCTGCTGAAGGGCTATGGACAGGCGACCAGCAGCCAATGGCGTCGTCCGTTCGTTCGTTCATTCACTTATTCGTTCGTTCATATAACAGCTGACTGATCGGTTGAATCAAGACAATCAAGGACAGCAGTCAACGCGACTGAGACGCTGCGTCGGAGGAGCGGGAGCTCTGCAACGTGGGGCCGGCAGAGGTCTCCGTGATGTTGCACGCTGCTCAGAGGAGTCTGCAGGTGACACGGCAGTGAAAGGTCCCCTCGGTCAGGCTGGGCTGGCGAGGCAGCCACTCACAGGCTCCTTCGTTCAGTTCGGCTGAAGTCTGCAGAGCATGCTGTGTGTCGTCGTCGTTTTTGACTCGGAGCAAACGGACACGATCAGAGTAGGACCTCTCCGGAGGGTTTCCTTGGTGGCAAACTTTAGGGGAGCAGATCTCCTGGTCTTTTCGGTCCCCCCAGTGGCTGGGCTGACTTTGGGGTTAGTAGCTGAGCCCCTTAACCACAGTCCCACCAGGGCTGGTTACAAATGCCACCAAAGCGGGTGGCTCTTTTGTTCCCTCTGGCACCACTACCAAGGGCAGGGTTCGTCTGGCCTGATTGTGACCTCACAAATGTTGTAAGAAGATGGACGTTGCTTTGACTGCCAAGCCGCGGGTCACTATCAGCGCCCTTTAGCCCGACTCGTCTAGGACGTGTAGACACGAGCTCTTGGCGTCTCCCCTGAGAACCTGACTTCCCAGCCAGTGGGGGTGGCAAGCCTCACCCACACCATCCGATGACCTTGTTTTCCCCCGAAGCAGCAGAAAAATCAAATGAGTATTTTTTAAAAAGCGGACAGACATCTGTTCTTCCACCAAATTCTGATGTTTCTAGCTCTCTCCTCTTTCTTCTCTCACCAGTCACCCTCCTTTTCCTTTCGAACAACTCTTTCTAAATGTCCGGCGCCTCTTGAGTAGGTTTTCGGATTGCCTGGCTCTGCCGGTAAGACAGTGTAGCAAGAAGAGGCCTTTGGTCCTTATCTCTGAAATGTTCACTTCAGCAAAATGGTCCTTGGAGGTGGGCATAGACTGAGTGACTGAATTCTGAAAAATGAAAGCCTGATATTTTCAAGTATTTTGCAAGGGTGGGACGCTTTCGTAAAGAAGCCCTTGGGTGAGGGTTTGCACTGTAGAGAGAAGGGTATATAAGAAGCTGGAGAGAAATGAAAATGAATTCAAATAAATTAGAGCCAAGTCTGCCCTCTGCTGCACTTCAGTGGTTCCCATCCAGTCAGGTTTTTCATGGAAATAGCTCAGCACAAACAAATCCATCTCGAGTCATTAAAAAAAAATCTTTCCGTAAAGCTGAAAACCAATATTAGTGCCTCGATAATAGATTAAAGCAATTACACTATTATTATTTTAGGACACTGTAAATTTCTTGTACTGATGTATTTTTGTTACCAAATGGCATTTATAAAATAATAATGATGCTGAAATATAGATGAGTCAAGTGAAGTATGCCATTCCAGGGAGCCAGCAAAGTTGGTCACTGATAATTTAAAATTCTCCCTTGTTTTGCTTAAATAAGGGCCAAAGCAATTATATTTTAACAAAATTAAGAAGTCCTTATTTGGTAGCTAATGGAAATCTCCCTTGGGTTTAACCTTGACCATTAGGCCAGGACCTCGAGGCCAGGAGGTTGACGGAGGCTTTGCAGTTCTTTAAGTATAACCTGAGGCCCGGCCACCCACAGTCACCAGAGTCTTTTTCTTGCTTGCCTCTTTTTCTCCTGGCCCCAGCCTGGGATCTGATTTAGGACCGATCAAATTAGTATCAGAACTTGACTTTGTACAAAGATGTATCTTTCCCCCAACAAGGTTCTATTTCTAAGAATCCCACACACACAGAGCCACTTTTTGTTTTCTGACAATTAAATGATGTGCATTTAAATCAAGCTGCTTTAAAAACGGATCACTTTTCGTTTCCCTCTTCTCTGGCCATGAAGGCACCATGCTTCGCTTCTAATGCCACCGTCCGTCCGCTCTTTCCCCAAATCACGGAAGAGCCACTGTTGACACAGAGGAGAAGGTTGTGCCCTAACTCACGGCAGGTTCCAGTTCGCGGGGAAGATTTGGAGCTCTATAGGAGAGCAGTCCTGTCCAAACCTGCAGCAGAGGGAGTGTAGACAATTGTTCAAGTAAATCGAGGGAAATGCCTGCTTTTTTGAGTGGACTTTACTGTAAATCTGTTCTCGGAAACAAAATGTTCAATTGCCCTGCATGTAGATGAGCTCCCCAAGCCTTTTCCTTGCAGGGAAAATATAAAAGAATTAGTCTGTGCATTGCAATTTTTCTCCCCAGCACAAAAAAAGCAACAGACAAAAACCCTGAAGCAGTCACTTGCGTAAAAGTATTTACTGTACCGAGAATATCACACAGCCGCCCCAGCTGCATGTTCTGCTGTGTCTTGAAGTCGGCAATGTGTCTGCGCACAGACTCGGGGTAACCTTAAAGGCAAAGAAAACCACGTCAGTACAAGCGAAGGGCGCACAAGCACCGAAGGGCACACAAGCACCGCCAAGGGCCGCAGTGCCGGGTCCGGAACTTCTGCGAGGTCAGTCCCTGCTTCCCAGGGGATTAAGCTATATCCTGGAAGGCAGCTAAGCCGCACATCCTGCACCTGAGAGGCTCATTTCTTTCCTCATCCCAATCATACCCGCATAACTCCTGAGCAGTGAGATCAGAACAAAACATTTTCTGATGCTTAACAGGAAAGCTCAGAGCAGCCTGTCAGAAAATTGTGCTCTGGTTCCAGTAGGCTAGTTGTTTTATAGTTTTATTTCAAAAGCCTTTTTTCCCCACTCTAACTATTTTGGTCTTTTTGATTTATACCTCCCATGTGGCATCCTGAAGGTGCGTCCCAGAATGACTTTAAACCCCTCGCTGTTGGGAATGAGGATGTAAGAAGTTCTCAATCCTAAAGAGGTCACCTTTCTTAACACGAGAACTTTTAACCTTCTAAGGGCAAGAAAGGCTCGGTTACTTTGTTGGGAGCAATGGAGCCGCTGCCGCAATCTGCCTTTGCCTCTGTTGGAAGCAGTGCAGGAGGAAACCACGGGTGGATTACTGTCATGGAAACAACAAACAAACAAACAAAAACCCTCTGACAAGAGAAACAACAGAGGCATCCATTTCTGCTGATAAGCGAGGTCTTTCAAAAATGGGGGAAAAAAAAAAAGAGTGGATCAAGACATGACCTTAAAAGGCTTGCACGCATACTTACAAGCAGGTATAATTGCTTATATGAAATTCAGCCATGGTAAGGTACAACCTTTTTTTTTTTTTCCAAATAAAATTGCTTTTCACATTTTGAAGAGATGCTTCAATGCCTCCTTGTGGTTAGTGAGCCCAAACACATGTTTCCCGTTAAAACTGCTATAGATAAAATGATTTTATATATTCCATCTTTGAGTGGTGACACAGATTTTCTTTTCAGCGTAAGGAAAACTAGAGTCATTCAGCCAACAGGGCTGCAGATCAAATGGACTCTGATAATTGGCTCTTTGCTTTGATGTCAGTGTTTAAACACGAGACGACGTCTGGAAATTAAAGGAGTTTAAAGGAGTTTACAATTCATCTAAAAGTCTCTCTCTTCACTTTTATGCATATGAACTTAAGAACCAAAGAGGCAGAAGGACAAATGGGTTGTTTGAATTATGTCAGAAAAATTACTCATTTCTCAAACAATTTTTGGTGCCATTGTGCATCTGAAAGTTCAAATAGACAGCTACAATTTCAATGCTGTCTGTCTGTGTGGTTGCAATATCGTAGCTTCTGGGAATTGGCAGAGCTGGCTCGTTCCTGCTGTCGTCAGGGAGATGCTTAGGAGCGTGCTGCAAACAATAGACGAGGACATCAAGACCCTGAGAAGACAGCGGAAACGCCTCAAGAATAAAGCATGGCCAAGAAAGAGCTCGAGAGCCTCCCACAAACGCGTTTCCTTTCGAAAGATCAAAGGCCGTGTGAGATGTGGAATTAAGAGGGTGTCCAACGTAAGAGCAAGACCCTGTCTGATCACTTTGTTCCTGCACAGGCAGCGTGGGGGTGACCGAGGCTGGGCTTCCGGTCAAACCCTTGAGGTCAGTTTTCTAACAAATTACTTGGGACCTCTGTTATCACTGCTCAGGGACCCCCAGCAACTGTCTACTTAGAATTGTGATCGACCCTGCTGCTCATTTTTCCCTGATAACATACCCATTTTAAAGAATGAATTGCCAACCACTTCGCAACATGGTTACAAGAGGATGATCTGAAGTAACAGATGTGAAGACATTTAAACTGTAAAAGTGCTATATAAGCATAGAATATTTTAATTTTATGATCTATGCACATTCCTAAAGCCACAAAAACAACACATTCCGTTATAGGTAGAAAACCATTCTACATGAATAAGATGCATGGCCAGCGTCAGAGCAGAAATTCCTGGTCAAGTTTTGCAAGTGAGACTTATCTTACTTTCTGTATCTCTGGCAGGTGCATGCGTTCAGGTCCAGGTGGAAAGAATCCATCCATACTGACAGCATATGTTAAATGACTTAACCAGGCAATTCTCCTCAGGGACCCTGTAGCCTGAGTATTTTGGCAACTATGCCCGGGGTCAACGATACAGCCACTGGAGGGTAGACTCTGCAAAGGCACGGTTACTTCATAGGGCAGACGTTACTACTAGGGCCATCGGGAGGGACCCTCTACCTGAATTCTATCATGGAACAGAGGAGGAAACTCGGCCAGTACTTTGGTCACGTGGGTGGCTTCCAGTGGGTGGAGAGGGCAAGGAAAACGGAATCTTGCCTACAGCCTCCCCAGAGGACGCAGCCCTGCTGTCATCTTGATTTAAGCCCACTTCAGACTTTGAATTGCAGGCTGTAAGACAATGTGTTTGCATTGTTTTAAGGCACGATGTGCGGTGAGATGCTCCAGCAGCGACACACAGTAAACCCGTGACAGCTGTCTAACTCCCTTCCTTCCACCAAGTTCCCCTCCCGCAGGCAGGCAGGGCTCCTCGTTCACCACTGAAGGGTGCCAAGAGCTCTGGCACAGAAGCAGCCAAACCCCAAACCACGCTCACTGCCATCGAGTCAATTCTGACTGACAGTAAGCCTATCGGACAGGGTAGAACTGCCCTTTGTGTGTGCGAGACTTTAGATCTTGACAGGAGTAGACAGCCTCATCTTTCTCCTGGCCGCCCACGGTCCTCCCTTTCTGCCAGAGCCACACTGTACTCAAACCACCGACCTGTGGTTACCAGCTCAGTGCCTCGCCCACCGTGCCACCAGGGCTCCTCGGGCAGAAAAGAACTCCCCCGGAGCACTCAATTAGGGGCAGTGCTATTATTTCCTTCGAGCCTTAGCTAAGTCAGGCTGAAATTCTCGAAAGGAAAACGAATATTCTCACAAGCACCGAAGTATCTGAACTCGGACAGTACAGAACACCCACCTTCAGATGGCAGCCCACCATCTCTAAGAAGGCCTCCTGTCTCTCTCATTGTCTTGCACCCCTCATGCACCCAGACTCCTCTCACTGGTCAGCACCTGCTTCTTGGCCTGTTTGTTGCCTGTCTCTCCCCACCCCTGCACCACCCCTGCTCCTGCGGCCAGACCCTCATGAGCACCACCCCAAATTGCGTGAGAAAATGAAACCTCACTCAAGGGAGCTGCCTATGAATTCTTTGCCCTTTCTTTAATGTGTTTACAGCATCTCCCCTGCCCTCCACATAAAAAACAAATCAAGTTGAGGCTGGCTCATAGTGACCCTATAGGACAGGCTAGACCTGCCCTTTGAATTTCAAGGCTGTAACTCTTTATGGGAGGAGAAAGCCCTGTTCTTTGAAATCCCCAGTACTTCTCCAGCTCAGAGCACACACTTGTAGAAGAGTTTTTGGGATAGGGCTTTCTAGGGGGGGTGTCCAGGTTCCAGTTCCTGACACACGCAGAAAGCGCATGGCACAGAGAGCATGGAACCCCCAGAGACACCGAGGGGCTGATCCAGTATGTCATGTGTCAGTTTGATTAAAATAAAAGGAAAGTTGTTTTTCGTGGGGAGCTACTGGGAAGAGCTAAGGAGTTTTGTGCTGAGGATGTAGAAAACCTGGGATGCCTTGGTTGAGTTTTGAAGCCATTCTCAACCCCCAAGGGGTCAAAAAGACTCAGCCGTGACCTTGGAAGTTACTCTCCCAAAGGGTGAGGACTTCCTTTTGTTCCAACTCCGGGTCACGGATCAGCACAGTGCTGCACTCAACCAAAGCCAGTGATTCTGCACGCGTGGTCTGGGGATACAGTGTCCTTGAGACTCCTTCCAGTAGTTTTCAAGGTCAAACTATTCTCAGAATCAAAGACATGATTGGTCTTTTTTCAAGCCTATTGAGCATCTAATCTCACAAGTTACCACATACAAAAAAATTCCTGATGGGACTTTCAATTGAGGTGCTAACCTCGTCAGCAGTTTGAAACCAGCAACTGCTCTGAGGAAGAAAGATGAGGCTTTCCACTCCCTTATAGAGTGAGAACCCCACAGGGGCAGTCCGCCCCTGTCCTATAGGGTCTCCATGAATCGGAACTGACTCAATGGCAATGAGTTGGGCTGGGGGGTTAGTTTGAATGGAGCATAAAGAAAATACTCAATTATCTGAAAACTCATTGCCATTGAGCTGATCTTGATTATTGGTGACCCCGTGGGTTACAGAATACAGCTGCTCCATAGGGAGTTCTTGCTTGTCATCTTTATGGAAGTGGAAGCGGATGGTCAAGGCTTTCTTCCATAATGCTGCTGGGTGGATTTGAACCACCAACCTTGAGGGTAGTAGTTAAGTGCAAACTGTTTGAGCCATCCAGGGACTTGAAAGTTTATAAACTGTTCTTTCCTTTTCCCATGACCTATCAGTATTGGACTGGGTTTTCTTTGCTCTGACTGAAACCATAATATTGCAGCAGATTGAAGGTAGAAACAGGAAAATCCAATTGTGTTCTACTCAGCCAGGTACTAAAACAGATTTGAAAACCCATGAATGGGCCTCTTCACATGGAAAAATCCTTGTTAGGAAAATATAAATAAAAATACTTCTATATACTTTTTAACATACAAGTACAAAAAAATGTTTTACGAAATATGTTTTAGGTAATATTGGTAGTGGGCTTATTACCATTTTAAATGAATTCGTAAATATTTATTTTTGCTTTACATTTCTAGTATGATAGATATCAGTAGACATCATAAACCAAAACTTTTAAAGTATATATATATTAAAAGTTTGCAAGAACCATTTTTTCATTGCTAATACCTTTTGTCAACAACATAAACTGCATTCCTATGCCCACCTAAGGCCTGCCTCTATGGATTGGCGCTTCTAGAGTTGTGAAAAGTGTTTGAGATCTCTCCCTAATTATGCACAAGCCCAATGTGATGTTTTGCATGGATCACGCGTACAGCATTCTTTCATTCCTTCTGCTAT